TGTAACACGCCACAGCCTTCCCAACACACACAGGACCTCCCACTGTAAATCAACACCCCAACATTGTTTCACCTTCAATGTTTTGGATTTATTTGAAATTAATTCTGCACAGCTCTGCGAAGCTGGCCTCGGGCTGTACTCTGCGCCTGCACCATCTATTTTTATATGGCACCATATTAACTGTTATTTATTTATAATGGGAAGATTGTTCTATAATTATCCAAGGTTGCTTGGGTGTATTGAGTAAGCCATTCCAGCTGCCAGTTATTTACTCCGTGCAGCTTGTCCCCTATGAGATACTCCAGGTTTGAGTTGGTTTTATGTTTTCAATATTAAAAAAAAACATCTCCAACAGCTGTTTCCTGTTTCTTTTACTTAGTTGGATTCTTAATTCTGACTCTATTCTACTTGTTTTTATATTTCTGACATTTTCAGTTTCAAAACATCTGAATACATAAATAAATACATAAATAGATTAACCTATTGTGATACTGAGATGTAAAATCAGTCCTACTATTTAGGATAGTCCACATTTAGGACTATCCTAAATAAATATGACTGCATATGTAGAAACTAAAGCCGGATTTAGACTTTTAAAGCGGCACCCTGACCAATTACAGGCTTATGGTCTTCATTACTTTCAACAAACAGTTGGGTAGGTCTCTGTCAATCTCTGCGAGCCTCCCGCAGAACCCTTGCATTGATGCATCATGCCGTTGTATGCCTTCGCACCCATGCAGTGGGAGAAGCATACGCCATTTAAGGCCGATTATGTAACAGCGAAACAACAAAGCCATCCAAATTTGAAGGACAGTCAAAAGGGGTCCTAATTTTCCTCATGTTTCGAGGACAGGTCTGGAGTTTCCTTGGTGACAAAGGCTATCCCTGGATTGATTGCAGGCCAAATGGGACATTTTTGTTTATGTACCTAGGGATGCACTGATATGAAATTTTTAGGCCGACACCGATATTAAAATCTCTGTTACGGCCAATAACCGATATTTGCAGATACCGAAACATATATATGTATATAAGTATGTATATAAGTATGTATATATGTGTGTGTGTGTGTATATATATATATATATATATATATATATACACACACATATACACATATATATATACACATATATCGGCCATGTTACCATTACCTGCCATTTTTTATCGCTGAAAGTTTTATTCTAGTTTTTTTAATTTATTATATTTTATTCTATTTTTAATCTTATTATTCATGTTATATGTAGCACATTAGTACCGAAGCAAGTTCCTAGTTTGTGAATTGTTTGTTCACTGACAATGGCAATAAACCTATTCTGATTCTGATGTATATATATATATATATATATATATATATATATATATATATATATATATATATATATATATATATATATATATATATATACATACATATATATATATATATACATACAATGGGGCAAAAAAGTATATATTCAGCCACCGATTGTGCAAGTTCTCCCACTTAAAATGATGACAGAGGTCAGTAATTTTCATCATAGGTACACTTCAACTGTGAGAGACAGATTGTGAAAAAAAAATCCATGAATTCACATGGCAGGACTTTTAAAGAATTTATTTGTAAATCAGGGTGGAAAATAAGTATTTGGTCACTTCAAACAAGGAAAATCTCTGGCTCTCACAGACCTGTAATGTCTTCTTTAAGAAGCTTTTCTGTCCTCCACTCGTTACCTGTATTAATGGCACCTGTTTGAACTCATTATCTGTATAAAAGACACCTGTCCACAGCCTCAAACAGTCAGACTCCAAACTCCATTATGGCCAAGACCAAAGAGCTTTCGAAGGACACCAGGAAAAGAATTGTAGACCTGCACCAGACTGGGAAGAGTGAATCTACAATAGGCAAGCAGCTTGGTGTGAAAAAATCAACTGTGGGAGCAATTATCAGAAAATGGAAGACATACAAGACCACTGATAATCTCCCTCGATCTGGGGCTCCACGCAAGATCTCATCCCGTGGGGTCAAAATGATCATGAGAACGGTGAGCAAGAATCCCAGAACCACACGGGGGGACCTGGTGAATGACCTGCAGAGAGCTGGGACCACAGTAACACAGGTCACCATCAGTAACACACTACAACGGCAGGGAATCAAATCCTGCAGTGCCAGAAGTGTTCCGCTGCTGAAGCCAGTGCATGTCCAGGCCCGTCTGAAGTTTGCCAGAGAGCACATGGATGATACAGCAGAGGATTGGGAGAATGTCATGTGGTCAGATGAAACCAAAGTAGAACGTTTTGGTATAAACTCAACTCGTTGTGTTTGGAGGAAGAAGAATACTGAGTTGCATCCCAAAAACACCATACCTACTGTGAAGCATGGGGGTGGGAATATCATGCTTTGGGGCTGTTTTTCTGCTAAGGGGACAGGATGACTGATCCGTGTTAAGGACAGAATGAATGGGGCCATGTATCGTGAGATTCTGAGCCAAAACCTCCTTCCATCAGTGAGAGCTTTGAAGATGAAACGTGGCTGGGTCTTCCAACACGACAATGATCCCAAACACACCACCCGGGCAACAAAGGAGTGGCTCCGTAAGAAGCACTTGAAAGTCCTGGAGTGGCCTAGCCAGTCTCCAGACCTCAACCCCATAGAAAATCTGTGGAGGGAGTTGAAAGTTCGTGTTGCTCGGCGACAGCCCCAAAACATCACTGCTCTCGAGAAGATCTGCATGGAGGAATGGGCCAAAATACCAGCTACTGTGTGTGCAAACCTGGTAAAGACCTATAGTAATCGTTTGACCTCTGTTATTGCCAACAAAGGTTATGTTACGAAGTATTGAGTTGAATTTTTGTTATTGACCACTTATTTTCCACCCTGATTTACAAATAAATTCTTTAAAAATCCTGCCATGTGAATTCATGGATTTTTTTTTCACATTCTGTCTCTCACAGTTGAAGTGTACCTATTATGAAAATTACTGACCTCCGTCATCCTTTTAAGTGGGAGAACTTGCACAATCGGTGGCTGACTACATACTTTTTTGCCCCATTGTATGTATATATATATATATATATATATATATATATATATATATATATATATATTGGATTGGTGGACTTCAGCCTGGCGAGGTCATCAACCTGCAGGTGTAAATGTACTCTGCGCTCCTCCCAAGATCTCCCTCCCACCTGTGGCTACAGTGGCTGAACGCCATAGGGCTGCTCTCGCTGGGGAAACAGGATCCCAGCCCCCCCGCGCCTTTCTCTCGGTGTCTCATGTTGTGAATTGTTGATGTTCGTGCTTATATGTTTGAGGCGTTTTTTTTTTTTTTTTTTGCATAATAAAGCTACGCCCTGCCGGGAGTAACTCTGGTATGCCTTTTTTCCCTCTCCCAATTTATCCTCATGTGATCCCCTTTTCATCTAATTAACGGTAGCGCGACTCTTGTTGCGAATGACCACAGTACCAATTCTTCTGTACTGAAACAATTGCCCCTCGGGGATGATTAAAGTTTTTTTGAATTAAATTGAATTTGAATTCTGTCATGTAGTGAAGATGCTAATGCTAACGGTTAGCTTCTACTAGCTGAGATATTCTCTGCTGCAGGAGATAGGTGTAGCACATTATTTTCATGTTCAGCATGTGAAAAACTCGAGTGGCCGATTGTAATCAGAAATAATCATTAAAAAAGGTTTTTTCAGTGAACCACACCTTTAAATTCTGTTTGTCTGTTAGTGTTTCTAGGTGACAAGATATGCTGAGGTAGTGGAAGGAATAAATATGAAGGCTAGATCATCCAAATTCACTACCGCTCTCTTAGCGGTCAAGGAAGGACTTGACCTACGTTGATCGGGTAGGACAAGTACTCACAAGAACGCTACCTCTGAATTTGGACACCTCCCGGCATGCTGGTGTAGTTATGGTCTAAAGGACGTGACTGTGCACATAAATGCTCACAGTCTGAGTCTGCACTTCCTCTGACCCCAGCCTGCCTCTCTCTGGTGGCCAGACCACCAGATACTATTTTCCCCAGTCATCTGTCATGCAAAAGGCCAGCAGTGGTGATCTATGCCAGGTTATCTTAAAAAGTCAACTTTTTGTTTTAATTAGTGTGCTAAAAAGGAAAAATAACAACACAGACCTGCAGGAATGATCCGTCTTTGCCAGCTATGAGCTACTGAGACAGAGCGCAGGAGGAAAATGTCCGAGTGAACGGATGGGGAGCCAAAAGCTTGAAGCTCGTGGCTAATGAACAAACTGACTGTTATGGACATTAAACACCCAAATAAAAGGCAATAAAACCATTTTCCAGACACTTCCTTGTATTAACATGAAAAATGTAACTCCACCAGGCCAGAAAGCAGGAAGGGAGCGGAATGCACTTGAAATTATTTCACACATCAAAGACGTAAATCTTTGCAATGCCAGCGTTTTGAGCGATTGTGCGGAAGTGGACTCTGATTGCAATTCCTGTCGCGCAAAAGCAAGCCTGTTCTGTCATGTATTGTTTGTTTATGTGCTGCTAATTGTGGCCAAGAGCAAAGCAGCAGCTTAGCTCTGATAAACAGCGACGATGAGCCCTTTGAGGCCCCTAACCTCTAACATCAGAGACCTCCAGAGGTCTTCATGTGACCGGCGTCAATGGAAGCAATACAAAATACTCCTTAGGAGACTATGAATATACTTTAAGTAAAGTTACACAGAAACTTTCAACCACGTCTAGTCCCGCACTCAACTGAACTCAATCCAATGGTTCGTCTATTGCAAGAAACCAGAGGATGTGGACTCTGCCTTTTGAAAATAAACAGATCAGTGCAAAGTTTATATTACAGCCCAAGTGAGGCCTGCCATCACTTGTTCAGGCAAAAATAAACCCATAGCTCTCAGTGTAAAAGCAAATTTGTATTTCTATACCTGTTGGAAGCTTTCTTTCAAAGTTGCACATGTAACTTGGTTTGGTTGTTAATAATTACATCATTGGGCAAAATAAGAGCATTCCTGAGGTAAGGCTACCAACCCTGGCCTTGTCAAGCTGTGTCTGAGCCTGTCGTTCTGCCTCTCTGCGCGCTGCCTCCTTGTCCTCCTCCAGGGAGACATCGGAGTCTGATGGACGGCTGGTGTAGGAGTCGGCCGAACCCTGTGGAGACACAGACAGCAACATCGTCACAGTCCCAGCAAAAGTCGAACTTAACTCCGTGTCCACTCGCATTATAAGAACAGCAGGTGTTACAATGATTCTTTAGGACACTTTGGCTCGTGCTTCAGAGAGAAGTTACAAATGTGCAAACACCCACACACAGACCTAAGTGTTAAAACTAAGGAATCTGGGTGACTTTCATGGAGAAGAAGAGAAAAAAATTCACAGAAGCTCAAAGAAACGTGCATGCCCAACAATAATCAACTTGTTGACACACGGACACGCTCTTCCTGTGTGCACGAGAAAGGACGCCAAAGGACAGAAACTGTTGTTCTTATTATAACGTCTCTGGCAGCTCCTTGGCTCTCTCTCTTTCTATCTCCATCTCTTTGTCTGTCTCTCTCTCCCTCTCTCTCCCCCCATCTCTCCTCTCCCCCTCTCTCTCTTCCCTCTCTCTCTCTCTCCCCCTCTCTCTCTCTTTATCTGTGTATTTCTCTTTCTCTCTCCCTCCCTCTCTCTCGCTGTCCTGTCTTTCTATCTCTATCACTTTCTCTCTCTCTCTCCTCTCTCTCTCTCTCATCTGTGTCTCACTCTCTCTTTCTCTCTCCCTCCCTCTCTCTTGCTGTCCTCTCTCTCTATTTATGTCTCCCTCTCTCTCCTCTCGCTCAATCTGTGTCTCCTTCTCCCTCTCCTCACTCTCTCTCTCTCTCTCTCTCTCTCTCTCTCTCTCTTTATATGTGTCTCCCTCTCTCTTCCTGCCTCACCTACTCTCTTCTCTCTCTCCTTCTCCCTCTCTCCCTCTCCCCCTCCCTCTCTCCCTGCCTCACCTACTCTCTTCTCTCTCTCCCTCTCTTTATCTCTCTCTCTCTCTCTCTCTCTCTCTCTCTCTCTCTCTCTCTCTCTCTCTCTCTCTCTCTCTCTCTCTCTCTCTCTCTCTCTCTCTCTCTCTCTCTCTCTCTCTCTCTCTCTCTCTCTCTCTCTCTCTCTCTCTCTCTCTCTCTCTCTCTCTCTCTCTCTCTCTCTCTCTCTCTCTCTCCCCCCCCCCTCTCTCACACTAGCATTGGCTCCACTCTAGTCCACTCCGCCCACCTCCAGCCTGACCGTGTTCAGTCCACACTGCCTTAGGAATGCGGACGTGATTGAGCACATTAGCATTCTCCAAAATTGGTGCGAAAAATAGATATCAGTGATATCTTTGCGGGGCAAAGAGAGAGGAGAAGTCTGTGGTGTCTCCATTATTAAACAAAAGCAGCCTGAGCAGTCTTACTTTTGGAGACTCTCTGACTCAGATTTTGCATTTTGCTTCTCTGTCTGGCAGCACTGTGTGTGTGTGTGTGTGTGTGTGTGTGTGTGTGTGTGTGTGTGTGTGTGTGTGTGTGTGTGCTCTCCTCCAGGCAGACCACCTTGGGTAGAAGCAGGGGCGGATTTAGGACTGAAGAAGATCCGGGGCTTAACACACACACACTCGCGCGCGCGCACGCACACACACACACACACGCACTCACGCGCTCGCACACACACACGTGACACGCACTAGTCAACATCATATATATTTGTCTTGTACCACATAATTTTTAATCTGAAGCTACATATTAAGCATTTTCAGGGCAGAGTATTATTGTTCCTGTTAGTGTTTAGTGTGAGATGGTAGTAAATATTCCCTTTCTTTCTCCAACAACTTTACCTGATAGTAAGCTAACTTTAGGAAAACCAGCAGCACAACAAATATTTTAAAATAAGACTCACAAACCTGAGTCAACACCAGTCTCATCAAAGCTGGGGTTCTGTCGTTGTACTTTTTGTCTAAAAAACGTCCTTATGTCCATCTTCACTCATGCGTTTCAGGCAGAGAGTGTAGAAGAAGCCAGCTGCTGAAGGGCTTCTTCTTCTTCAGTGGTGGAGGCTCAGGCAGGCTGTATACAAACTACTGCCAGCTGCTCCCTTTCTGTTGGACTTTGGTACTGCATGTTACTTCCGCGATTTAGATCCGGGGCTTTTCATAAAACATCCGGGGCTTCAGCCCAAGTAGCCGGGCCTAATGCCGCCCCTGGGTAGAAGGCTGAAAAGACGTTTGGTTGAGTGCAGGAGAATCCAAAGCTACCCAAAGAGAACACTCCAAACCCAGTCCAGGCGGAGTGGAGCCAATGCTAGAGTGAAAGCGCCATTTGAGTCTCTAACTCTGTGTCTCAGTTTCTCTTTTGGTCCATCTCTCTCTACCCCTCTCTATTATCTGTCTCTCTCCCTACCCCTCTCTATTATCTGTCTCTCTCTCTCTACCCCTCTCCACACCCCTTGTGTGTGTGTTTGTCTCCCTGTCTGTTTGTTTCCCCTGTCTGTCTGTCATTATCTGCACCCTCCCTCCCTAATAATTTACCTTTAAATTATATGTAGCTATGACAGATTAAATCCAGATGTGCATAAACCAATAAGATTATTGCACTGCTTAGTTCCATTGAGTAGGTTTATGCAAAAACGTCTTTGTTTCGAATCTGTGAAAAATTAGCTATAACCTGACGACTGCATATTAAATGACAAAAGCTGTCAAAAACCAGTAGTAGCAAACATAAAATCAACTGTTTTATTGACTTTTACTGTTTGTTTAAAGCACTTTCGTGCCATTAGTCGCCTTGACTGCCACATAATCGATTCAGATCTGACAAATCATGGCTCTGGGGGTTAATGAACCCTCATTTCTCAGGTGGCTAACACCAAAATGAACCCACAGGGATGTTTATCTTTCTCAGTCAATCCATCATGTTCATGTCAATAAACACTCACCAAACGCAAACTCTCCGTCATCAAACTTTAACAGAAAAAGGCTGTGTAGAAATCAGCAAAATGTGAAAAGATATTAAAACTCAGGGGAATAAATGGATTATGTAATAATTTTTAAAATCCAGAGATTATTGTTGAAAGACAAATACATAGAAGATCTACCTCTACTAACATGAGCATTTTAATGTTCAACATTTTGTGCTGAACAGCAGCATCACATATTTTATCAGACGCCATGTTCTAATATCACTTTAAACTATTAGAAAGTATCGGTAATATAATAGCTCTTAAGACATGTTTGAAGTTATGACACATTATTCGTTCCACTGGCAATGAAAAAAGTTATTTTAAGTCTGTCATAAACAATTTTGTCTAGTTGGCATCATGAAACAAAAAATGTGTACGGAACTTAGCATTAGCTCGGCCTAAAGTTAGCAGTAGCTTGGGCTACTGCTAGCAGTAGCTCAGGCTAGCATTAGCAGTAGCTCGGGATAGCGTTAACAACAACAGGTTTCAGTAGATTTTTACCAAACTGGTTCATATTCAGGCAGTTGTACGCAGGTGATTTCATCCTGCTGCAATATGATCAAAGTCAAGAAATAATAAAAGGCCAGTTAGTACAATAGTTGCCCTTTCTAAGAAAACAATCACAAGATGATAACGGGGGAAGTAAAACTGCCCTTTTCAGTCTTGCTTAAATGAAATTCAACAGTTTTTTGGTTCTAGTTGACAAAATGTGGATAAAAATTTTTTTTTTCAACTTTTGTGACTTATAAACGCTAAAATAAACTTTTATTGTTTAAACATGTAGTTAACCTTTCCTGTTTTTCACATTTATCAAAACCAAAACATTAAAGCTGTTTTTCCTTTTATCTCATGGAGTCAGCGTGCTTCTTATCCTTACCTGCCTGCTACTATGCTACAAACACAAGGTCTTTCATTCATCTCACTGCACCATTACGCTCTGCTGTCTGGGTTAAAAATAGCCTCCCTCACTGTGTGCATGATTAGAATTACCAGCCATCACATTCATGCAAAGGAAGATCACAGCTCTCCCTCCTCTTCGCTTACTCTACCTGACTTCTGAAAAAGGACAACACAAGTGTTGCTGTCATAAACAACACAAGGTGGGTCATATTTACGTCCTCCATCTTACACAAAGCCCCGCTGCTCATCAATCATCTTGATGTCTCTCCTTGTTCTCACTTTGCACCTGAGATAAATCAGAACATTATTTATTTAATCACATGCTTTACCTAAGGAGGCTGTCTGTCTTACAACCACGGCCCAGATAGCAAACATTTTGGTTTTATTTTGGTTTTATTTTGGCATTAATTGGGCATTTTGGCATCCTTCTGGCACAAAAATGTTCGAAAAAGTATTTTGGTTTAAATGTGGCATAATTTTGGGTTCCCATTATAGACAATTACGTCAGCGAGTGTTTCTGTTTTAACCGTGGCATAATTATGGTTTGCCATAATAGAAAATTAGGCGGCTGGCTATTATGGCATATTCTGGGTAGCCAGAAGAGAGCGGGACAGCGTCTGTGACTTCTGCAGGTGTGCTATGGGGTTATTTTGGCAAGCCATAAAACTCAACAAATGGCGGGAAAAATAGTGATCGAAGACCGGGAATCAGGACTAATTTGTTCATTTCTCCAGTATCACGACAGAGGTGAGTACTATTTCTTCTTGAATCCTACCTTTTTGTTTGCTATAGTTTTGTTTTAGGTCTGTATTGTTTGTCTTAGCAAAATGTAATATTCGGCCACGTTCCGGGTTCCAGAACTAATGGCTTGGTTTCTGCTAGTAGATAGTGGCTGTGCCGCTGTTTAGATGACGTACAGATGCTAACTGTGGCTAATCTACAGCTAACGGAACCAGCGTCTATATACGACCGAGTGGCTTCGCCAAAGGGTCACGCGGTTCGCTGCGGCTGCAGCAGACTGTAACGGGTGGTAGAGGGCTGCATCGGGATTGGGTCCCGCGGTACCCAACACAAATCTTGCGGGGGAGGGCGGTGTGAATTTTGCTGCGGGCAGGAACGGTCGGCTGGATTGGGATGAGTATGATGGAGTCGGCAACTGATGTTGAAAAGAAGCTGAAACAAGGTCTTTATGACACAAAAACCAAAGCAAGGCAAGTCAGACATTTGGAGCAGTTTCTCCGATTGTGTTAATATTTCTCATTCAGGTCTCAGAAAAGTGACTTCGATCACTTCCTGAT